TATAAATGGAAACCTGTTGCCTACTCCCATGTCCCTTCAATCCTGTTTCTGTTCCATACTCTTAGGGATACTCCACCAAGAAATGTACATACCCCACTCCCCATCATCTTTGTCATAAACAGTCAGCCCTTCCTAGAGGAAGAGGCCAGCACTGGCCCAGTGCCTAGGGCAGTTTGAGCAGGGAATTCTGGGGTCCCAGGTACTTGGAACAGGATCTAAAAGGGGGGGTGGGGTCATAAGCTCCTACTAGGCATATCCAGCGTCCTGTGGGGAGAGGAGGGTCACAGGAGGGCCAGAGCAGGCCATCAGTTGGCAAACTAAAATTTTGTTCATGGAGCTTATCTTTTAGTTGGGAGAGACAGACAGTAAACAAAACAAATAAGTGAATTATACGGTATATTATATGATGTATCAGTGCTATGGTGGGAAATAAAGCTGGGGAGGGGGAGTGTGGGAAGGAGAGTGTGTTCCTTTGTGTGTTTTTTGCTTTAAAGAGAATAATCAGTAGAAGTCTCTTTGAAAATGTGACATTAAGCAAAGATTTTAAGAGAATGAGCAACATTTTTCAATAGAATGAAAATAGGATGTTTGTATTAGTCTCAACTAAAATTTGAACTCGTTTTGGCTGAAGTAATGAATTTGAGATTTATTGCATACCTTGTAAGTATCAAGTGTTACACTAGACGTTTTATATCCCCCATTCTAATTAATCCTTGCTGAACTTTAGAAAGCATTGTTTTTCAGACCATATAGCTAGTAAATAACAGAGCAAGGATTGTTTTTAGGTGTAAGACTTCAAAATTTATGCTGTTTCCAAAGAGTAAATAAAGGCATAGTAGTTATAATAAAGAGTAATAAAAAGATAATGCTACTACCTAGGTGGAAAATATTAATCTTCCTGCTATTTAGCAAAATAAATAGAATTTCGGTGATGAAGAAATAGATCATTTGATATATTTATAAATTCATATTCAATTCAAGGATAGCAAATGTCTGTTCTTTTGAAAAATATGTTAGTGTAAGAATGAAAAGATAAATTTTGAATATTTTTAGTTACATATGTAATAGCCTTGTTGAGAGTAGTTTCCTTTTTTCAAACCTCTTGATAAAATTTATTGGCACACTGGGCACTTAGAACTTTCATTTTCTTATTAATATTAAGCTAACTGAGAGTTTCTGCAACTTTTCAATATTTTGACTCTTTTTTCTTAATTTAACTGGAGTCAAGCTTTCTTATGTGAAGTACTATTTTCCTCAAACTGGGAACCTACTAATAATTTCAATTTAAAAAGAGCTTGTGACTTTTCCAATTCTTGGCAAGTTTGAAGTTCATTGCAATTTTACTGTGGATAGAAATCTTTCCAAAGGGGGGAAATCACTCTACAAAGGAAAACTTTTGAATCCTTTTCTCTCATGTGACTTGAACTTAAAATGATTTTAACAGCCATGTATGAATCTGGACATTATTCGTAGTTGTTTAGTACTTCAAAAGCACTTTCAAGAGGGAATTGTTTTGCTTATTTGTGATTCCAAATCAAATACACAGAGAGATTTGGAAGATTTGCAGCAGGAAGTAATCTCAGTTCTATGTAGCCACTAATCTTGTGCAGAAAAATTCAACTTTTATGAACAAAGGAGAAGCAATCTCTTTTAAGTTATAAATACAAGCCAGTGTAACTTGTATTGTTTTAATAAGTAAAGTGAAGAAGCTAATTATAAGTTCATTTTTTTTTTTTGTGCTTCATTCCTAGAATCATTTTAGAGTTGGCCTGGTCCTGAGAAATCTAATTCAACAGATTTCTTACTTTACAGGAATACTGTCTTTATAAATTACTACATTAATAACTGTATAGTATCTATGTATATGTCTAGAGTTTTCATAGCTTTCATATTTTTAACTTCATTTAATCCTGACAATTCTGTAAGGTGAGTATTTGCATTTATGTGTGGATAAGTGAGATGTTTAGAGGTTTACCCAAGATCAACTAAAGTGAAAGGGCCAGTATTGGAAGCCAGATCTTTTGACTGCAAACCTAATGCCTTTTCCATCATATCATCTTGTCTTTTTGTGCTGATTTCTTAGTTGGACATCACATTGTTGGCTCCAGTCACATTCATGAGCAATTACAATCTCTAGGTCTTTTTCATATATTGTTTTAAGTCAGGTTCTTCTCATCCTGTACATCTGTAATTGATATTTTGAACTTAAATACAGGGCTTTGTTTATCCTCGTTCATTTTCATCTTATTATTTTCTACTTACGGTTCTAGCCTTCTGAGATCTTTTCAATCTTGTTTCTATTATCCAATTTATTTATTATTTCTTCCAGCTGTGTATCAACAGCAAAATTTATAAGTAGAATATCTTTGTGATTATAGAAGCTATCCTAGTAATCTCTTTAGGATACTGTGTGTCTGTCACATAGTTGGAACTTAATAAGTGGTAATTGATTAAAAAAAAAGATTTTTATACAGGACAGGGAAAAATCCACACATATATTTCATAAAAAGAGAAAAACACCCTCAGTATGATTACTCTCAGTTATTTGTTTTGGACATAGTATTCCAAGATTACTGTAGAACCATTGTGGTTTTCTCTCATGTTTTGATATATTTATAAATAATATTTTTCATGGTAAATAAAGTGGTTAACTATTTTCCTTTCACATAAGAACCTATTTTCAGTATTTTAAGAATCCATTGTCTTGTAACTCTGGTTTTCTGTAACTGCCCTACTATCACAAAGGGCTAGAGAGTTTCTCTTTGTTGGAGAAAGGGCCTGAAGAGAGGAAATCTAGCTGTTAGGAGAGCTATTGAACTTACTTTGCGACTGTATTTACATAGCAAAGAAAGGTTTTTACTTAGATGTATGTTTAAAATCAATAAAAATAACAACTTTCTAAAGAAATTTTTATTCATGTGAAGCATGAGATTGAGAAAACATCAATTGTCTGTACTAAATAATGTAATTATTATATTTTTATTTAGAGTGTTTTATGGGTGGTACTGATGGTTTTGTAGTGGGAGGCTGAAGTTCCCCAAGCCACCTGTGGGTGCGGTGCCATCACCATCTGGACAGTACAGGAGTGATTCTCGCCAGCTATTTAGCATCCATTTTCCTTCATGGTCTTACTATATTCTTCATAACTCTTTATAAGCAATAAGTTTATAATTCTCTATAAGGGAAAACTCTGGTAAAATAAAAGAAACCTTGTGTAAAAAAAAGTCAGCGGCACTGGTTTTGTAGATAGAAATAAAGGTTTTTGAATAATGTTACTATAGTAATGATATGATGTAATATAAAGTTAATTTTATTAACAAAATTTATTTTAATAGCTTTATCAATTGCTTTACTTCTCTACTTATGGAATTAATAAAGTCCAGGAAGGACTAGTTAAAACCTTCCGTTATATTTTAGGGCATATCATGGTGGAAACTATGTAACAGTGGTTGCACTCCTGTGGATTCATGAGGATACTGGATTGTAGATCCATCCATTATTTAGAGCCTACTCTGTTTCACTTTTTAAAATAACAGTTTTTGATCTTTTATATTTTCACTTTTTTTTCAATTTTAAGTATTTTTGTGCTTAAATGGAAGATAAATTCTAACTGTCTTAATCTTCAAAGTAAACATGGTTTTTAGTGCTCTGGGAGTTACTCAGAAAGACACAGAACTTGTCATCCTGAGAAAACTTGCTTTTATGAAGCAGCTGCTCTGGAGACTACTCTAACTTCTTCTAAACTGTAGTCAGTGGATTTTACTGCTGTTATCTTTGCAGACATATGAGTGGGTTAATGCAGTTTTCTTTCTGGATATATAACAATATATAATTACTGAATATATAATATAAAGTCATGCTGTTTTAGTCTTCATGAACTGTATCAATACATAGTTTGTGTTATTCAGCATAACGCAGTTATACTTTGAAGCATTAAATTTTTTGAATTGTTGAGATCCTCTTTATTTAATCATGTATTTGAAATTTAAACTGTCTATTTCCGAAAAGGATTTGAGGTGATTTCTAATTATTTGGCAAATATATTATAACTGAATGGCATTACACGGCAAACTGTAATTGTTGAAATTTGTATTATCTGTGTAGATTACCTTGTTTAGAAATTAATTTCTGTCCCTAAAACAGCCACTGGTTTTATATTTACAGGATACATTTCCAAAAGTACTTTCTTGGCATCCTTTTCAGTGATTAAGAATTAAATTTAGCTTTCTAGTTCTCTCCTATTTGTGATGTTTGAAGATAAATACAAGAGTATACTTTGAATATTCAACTATAAATCACCTGGTCAAATCTTCCTACAATCATATATTTGGATCATATTTCACTTTTTTCTAAAGATTCAAATTTTTAATCAAGAAATAATGCTTTTCATTCACCATTGTGAATTTTATCTTTCAGGTTTTGTTAGTTTCCTATTTTTCTTTACCCTCTCTTATTTCTCTTTTTCATCTTTGCATTTCTCCTTTCCTTAATTTCTCTCATTTTTTGAATTTCATATGCTATTTTTTGCCCTAAAAGAGTTATGCTTTGTAATTCGTTATTAGGATGAAGAACTTGTATTTTTTTTTAGGGATACATAGGATATGTATACTTTTTTTTAGGATATACATAAACATTATGTATATCATATATATTACTATTAAATTTATAATAAAATCCACATTCTAAAGCAGATCAGACACAGGAATGTGTAACAAAGACCTCTCAAGAGTCCAAAATTGTTTTTTCTAAATTGTTACAAAAATTTTCAAAATTACACATGAAGGTGGTATTACTGAACAGGACAAAAATGCTAGTTGTAGCAGTGAATGAGTTTGCAAGCTATGAAACATCAAGGGTTAAAAGTTCCCAAGAAATAATGGAATTTTTAAGGGAAATTTTTATGATACCTTGATTACTATAGAGTGTATTGCTATCTAAGTGAAAAAATAAATCAAAATGAAGACTAAATTGCATATTTTCTTCTTTCTTGCTGTTACCAGGTGAAGCAAATGTTAATTAGATCTCAGTTTGCTTGTACTTACAAAGATGACTGCATGATAAGCAAGGATAAATGGAATAATGTTAATACAGCATCAAAGGCTTTGCGTGTTCTTCACATGGAAAATGACCTTTCTGGTAATTGACCTTATTTGAGCAATTTAAAAACAATTTAATTTTCGTGTACTAATTGATTTTAACTTAAGTAAAAATAGATTTTTTTTTACAAAATATGAAATGTGAAATGTAAAGGTTTATATTTTTGAAGACCTGACTTTTTTAAGAAGTTAAATCTAATTACAAATTTATATGTAGGAATAGGACACAATTTGATTTAAGTAAGTATATTTAAGAAATGACTTGTAGCATTTAAAGAAATGCATTGTATTTTTTGTAGGGATAAAAAGTGATATGGTAAAATGAGAAGAAATGTGATAGTAATACAGCTATATTTGTTAATCATGTAACTTATAGCATTGTTTGTAAATCATAAATTTTTGAATATTCTTTAGCTATTTAAAAAGTTTTTTATAAAATTCTCATGTATAATAGTATTAAGTATTATATAATTTTTTTCCTCTTTTCACCTTGCATAACAGAAGGTACAGATTCATCTGTTGGAAGACCAACAATTGGAGCAAGTTCTGGAAATGTTCATCTGGACAAAAGTAAAAATGAAGTAGCAAGAAAATCAAGTAGTCAGACTGGAAATAAAAACTCAAAAAGGAAACAGGTGGATCTGGATGATGAAAATACTCTCTGTGATAATGGAAACGAACCACTTCAACATAAAAATGTTAAGATACCTAAGACATCAAAAGATTTGCTAAGTAAATTGGATGGCAAACTAGTCAGAGTAGCAAAAAGCAACAAGTGTACCACCAACGACAAATTGATTACTGGCCAGACAAAGTTAACTCAGTTTTTTAGACTATGAATTTGTCTTTTATGTGCTTTAGATTTATGCATATATAAAACCATTCATGAAAGGCATCTACTTTATTTTTAAGAGATCAAGGTGTAAATTACGGTGTTTTATTATTTTGGACTGCAGTGTATGTAAGGTTAGTATGTTAGGCATTGTTTAAAAAATACTAGTAAGTCATAATTATGCAGAATATTCACAAAGTTTAATGCACAGATAAAGCATATCATATAGGTTACTGATATATCTTAATACCACTTTCTTTTAAAACAGACATTTAAAATAATACAAGTCATAGTAACATTAACGGCTTTTCCCCCACAGGCAATTAAATGATTTTTTTTTCTTCTGAAAAGGTGATGTGGACCAACAGGTATCATCAGACTTGCCAACAAGGTCGATAGACTCTTCCCAGCATACACCTGAGCACTGAAGGGAAAAAAAGTTGAAATTGTTTAAACTAGCATTATCACACAAAATTGATTAGAAATAGAAGAATGGATCTAGTATAGCTAATTCTGAGTAAATCAAAATTGTAATAACTAATTAATTACTTTTTAATCTCATGTTTTTGGCAGAGGTCACTTAATATCAGGTGTAAACTGAACCATGGTCTTGTTTGATTTCGTTATGATTGGACCCAAATTCAGCTAAACACAGAGTTCTGTTTTATGGTATTAAGATACATGAATTGAATTTTAAAAAGACTACTCACTGTCAAAATCTCTCCTTCCTATAGGAAATTTAGCTGAGTTTTCTTCATCCCCAATTTCTCTCTTTTCTTGTGTTGATTCAGTATTTTGAACTTCATTCTCAGCTGGAAAAGCTACAGATCCTTTTAGTGCAAGATAAGGTTTTATAGCCAGATTCAGTGGCAGACCATGATTTAAGAAATTATGTTTGGAACCTGTAGTCTGTAAAGAAAAGGTTGATTTGTGTTTTAGCTGTTTTATTGGGAATGGAACTATCATACAATTGTATAATATTCTTATTGATCAATTCAAAGATGCTCTGCACTGTTTTGACTCTTTGAAAATACCTTAGATACAAGGTTTTCAGGAAAAAACCCTTTTGATAAAGAGGTGTTTTTTAGGACAAAAGAACAACCTGGTATGTATGAAATTTCATTAGTTGTTCTAATGCATATTGTGGCTATTTTCACATAGTTCTGCTTATAAAAAATATTGACTTTACTTTCAAAGGATTCATAAAAATCATTCAAATTCTGTTGAAATAAAGGACAGATCACATTGCCACTTACCTTTGAATTTTTGTTCTCCTCATCATTCATAAAACTGCTCACATCATTTTTATATTGCTCCAGGGAAGGAACAACCACCGATTTTTCTGCAGTATCTTCCTTCTGAAAGGCTTTCCCTAGCCTCAACGCTTTAAATACCATGTCATCTTCTAAATTTCTTATTGACTTGGATGCTGAAAGTAAGACGCCTTGAGAAAGCAAAGAAAAAGTTAGTATTAGTATGTAGGAAGAGAAACTCATTTTTGCCATTCTTAGTTTGATGTTTGCATAGAGTAAAACAAGGATGTATAAAATGAAGTAAAATTTCTCAGTCAACCTGCTTTGTAAATGATTCCTACCTTTATATATTTTCCAGTTTGAATAGAAAGCACTTGAAAGACGTAGACTTTCATCATTTTAGAAGTGACTCATCAGATAGAAGCTAACTTTTTGTATAGCTGCTAATACCTATTTTGTTTTGGGTTTAGTGGCATGTTTATTTCTAGTATGAATTTTCTCAGAATCTCATTAAGATCCTTGGTAGAATGCTTTGTGTTGAAGAGATTATGGTCTCTTGAAAGAGATTGTTATTAAGGAAGCCCACAGGAAATCAGGCTCTCCACATTCTGTTTCCCTCTGTATATTTTCTGATTAAGTGAAATATTAAAACTAAAGTTTTTTCTTTCACTCAGGATAATAAGGATAAAAGTTTAAATACTTTTAATCCTGATTAAATTGATATAATCTTCAGAAAGGATTTTTTTTCTGTAAGTGCTTGATAGAGTCTATGATGTTTAAAGTATATATGCCTGTTAGTATGAACAAAAAGTCATTCATGCTATATATAAAATTGACCTGTCAGGTGTGTTTTATCTCTTTATTTACAAAAGGATATTACTGATACTTATTAATGAATTTAGCAATTAATGAGTAAGAAGTCCATGAAGAGAATTGTTACATGCTCCATAAATATTAATTTTGAATCAGTATGTTGTATGATTTTTAATTAAACATCCCAGAGTTAATTTCTAATTTTAATTTCTGATTTTAATAAGAGAATACATTCTTGTATATACTGTCTAGTATCTATGTGCCATAGTTTTTCTAGGGTTTATTTCCAGTTATGGAATTGCTGGGTCATGGAAGTATGTGCATATTTAGCTTTACGATGCCAAAATGGTTACAGAATAATAGTAACCAATTTAACCTCCCTCTTGCAGGGTTATGAGAGTTCTTATTGCTCCATTTCATAGTTATCTTATTGTCCTTTTAATTTGTGTTTCTTTAATTACCAAAGAGGTTGAATGTTCTTTCATATGCTTATGAGTTGTTTATCTTTCCTTTTATGTAAATTGCTTTTGAAAGAAAAATTTGCCTATTCTTCTGCTGGGTTTGCTTTTTTCTTATTGATTCATGGGAGTTCTTTATATATGCTGGAGATTAATTCTTTGTTAGTTATATGTGTTTTAAATATTTTTTCTCACATATACATCTTGCCTTTTGGACGCCTTTATTGTGTCTTTTGGTGAACCAAACTCCTTAATTTTAATGTTTAAATTTTTTCTTTTTATGGGTAGTATTTTTAATGTTATTTAGAAATCCTTCCCAGCCTTGAGATCATTAATATATTTCTATATATTCTAAAAGTTTAAATATTTTGACTTTCAAATTTGAATTTTTAATTCATCTAGAATTTTGTATATAAGAGATCCATTTTTACTTTTTCCAAATGTCCTTGTATATTTCTTGAATTTCTTGAACTTATTCTGTCCCCACTAATTTGTAGTAGCATCTCTGCAGTACATTAGGTTTCTATATGTGTGGGTCTCTTTTTGAGCTATTTCCTTTAAGGATTTCAGTTAATCCTTAACCCCAGAATCTTAACACCAAATCTATAGTCTTAATTATTATAACTTCAAAATAATTTTTGGTATCTAGTAGGTCAGGTTTCTCAGCCCCCTATTCACACACCAGTTTTTTTTTTTTTCCTACAGCAGTTCCTTGGCTATTTTTGTCCATTTATTTTCCATGTAAATCTTAAAATCAGCTTTTCAAGTTCTGTGAGAAACTTTGATGGGATTTTGAAGGGAATTACTTTGGTTCTATAGGTTAATTTTGGAGGGGAATTGATACCCTTAAGATAATTTATTTTCTTACTCATAAGCATGGTACTTTTCCTTATTTATTTAGATCTTCTGTAATCTCTTAATGACATTTTGTTTTTTCCATAAAAATCTTGCATTTCATTTGTTGCAGGAATTTAATTGTTTCTAATTTAATTACAATTAACCTCCTTATTTTTAGTTACTATAAATGGTATCTCTTAAACATTTACCTTTTCTAACATTGCTGGTTTGTACGCATGCAATTGGCTTTTGTTTAGTGCTCTTATATACAAAAATCTTGTTAGACTCTTTTAATTCCGATAGTTTATGAATGTATTAATTCTTTGTGATTTTCTATGTTGATATAAATAATAAAATAATGATATTTTATTTCCTCCTTACAAGTCCTATACACGTGTCTGTCTGTCTGTCTGTCTGTCTGTCAGTGGGTGCATACACACTGACTAAAACCTCCAATAAATAAAAACCTCCAGTAAATGCTGGACATGGAGGTAACAGATGTCTTACTGAGTTTTTTGTCTGCATAAACCATCAATTACTTAGGGAAATATTTGCAATTCTTTTACTATGGTAATGGGCTTATCTAATTCTATTTGTAGTTTTTAGTTTTTGCTTTATTTATTTATTTTGAGCTTACATTATTAGGACATTCAACTTGAAAGTTGTTACATCTTCCTTATAAACCAAACCATGTATCATGACCTTCTCTAGCTTTAATGATGTGTCTATTACTATCACTTTTCTTTTATCACCTATATGTTTTACATGTGTCTGTTGTAAATAATGTACAGCTGAATTTGGAATTTTTATTCTGACAATCTTTGTCTTTTACTTGGAGAGTTTTGTCCATTTACATTTTTCTGTTTACTGAATTACTAATGTTCAGTACTACTTTCTTCTTTTGTGATTTTTATTTGTTCTTATATGTTTCCTCCCACCTTCTTGCCTTCTGATTTAAGTTTAGTCTATTTTTCATTTTTTAAAGGGTATACTAGACATTTTAATATCATCTTCAGTTATTTACATTTAATCAGTATTTCTGCCCTTCTCCTAAATAATGTAAAGACAGAATCCTTAACTTCAGGCACTATTATTCCTAATTTGTATGCTATTATTTTCAAAGAGTTAAGTTCTATCTTGATTTTTCAATGAAACAAATTAGGGATTATTTTGTACAGTTAACTAATGTTTAGATTTACCTACAAGTTTGCTATTTTTGTTCTCACCATTCCCTTTTATATTCGAGATCTTTCTTTGACAACCATTTATCTTCTTGCTGAAATACATCTTTCTGAGGTATACTAAGTTAGATGCTTAGTGAGAGTCTGTTAGTATGAACTAAGTTTTGTTTTGTTTTAATTAAATGTTTTCTGCTATTCTTGAAAAATAGTTTCAGTGACTATACAATTACTCAGTTGACAATTATTTTCTCTTAGTACTTGGTCATTATTTCAATTTCTTTTGATTTTTATTGTTACTACAGAAAATTCAGCTATTGGTTTTAATCATGATTCCTTTATAGATAATCTCTGTATTCTATCTGGCTGTTTGTAAAATCTTCTCTTTGGCTTCCATGTTGTGCAGTTTCACATGATGTATCTGGAAATGGATTTCTTATAATTTATCTTGGCTCAGATTTTTGAATCTGAGGGTTGATGTTTTTCATGAATTCTGGAAAAGTGTTAGTTACTATTTCTTTGGATAGTGCCTCTCTCCTGTTGTCTGTTTCTCCTTATGGAATTCCCAGTAAATATGTATTGGACCTCCTGCTCACTCCTTCCACCATATCTTATGACCTCTCTTTTCTATTTTCTCTTTCTCTGTGCTACACTTTAAATAATTTCTTCAGAGTTGTTTTCCAGTTCACCAGTGCACTTTTACTTGTATCTAATCTGCTGCTTAACCTGTGTATTGAGCTTTTAATATAACTTCTTATATTTTTTATTTTTATAAGTTCTAGTTGGTTCCTTTTTACATTATGGTTTTCTATTTTTTTATTCATATTTTCAGTCTCTTCTATTGTTTTAAATATGTTAAACATTTATTTTATATTTGTATCTAGTTGTTTCAGTATCTGCTGTCTTTGCCTGTCTGATCCGCAGTTTGTTATTTCTGTTGTTCCTGGCTTATAGTATCTTCTTCATGTATTTAGCAAATTTTCATTTTGCACATATATTTATTAAATTGTATCCAAAGGAATTTTTGAAATTCCTGTGTTTTCTTGTGCCAGGCACCTGGAGTACTACCAATAGAGGGGCACTTTAAACCAAAATTTCTTCTTGAGGCTTTTCAGGCCACAGAATCATTGCAAATACCAAACTAAATTAGTATTCTTTTCTCATTAGGAATTATCAGGATAATATATATATATATCCCCCCCCCCCACTTCTGCTCAGAGCCACTCCCAACACAGGCATGTTTCCTTCTACTAGCTGCATTTTTTTCAGAGTACTTTATGGGGGTTCCCAGCTTTATTTGGGAGTTTCTGGTCTGATCTCTCATTTACATAGGTCCTAAGCTTTGTCTTCTGTTCCAGCATATGTGGGCCATTAAAACCAGGTGTTAGGCCACCAGGAATCCACAGAATCTCTCAGCGTGAATGCAGCCCCTAATTCTTGCTAACTCCTATTGAAATATTGCACTTTCTCTTTTCCGGCCTTCTATGGTTTTCCTGAGTTTACAGCCAGTCCAGCCATACTTTATAAAAGATTTTTCATCTAGCATTTTTAAGGAATTTTTTTACTGAGTGGTGTTTTCTGTGCAAGTAGTCTGCCATATTGCTGGAAATGGATGTCTCAATTCATTTTTTAGTGGAAAATTCTCTCTGCAAGGGAATTTGAATCCATTTGCACAAACTGTGTATGTACTGTATATTAAATTACTTCCTTTTAAACTCATGGGTCTGTATTTCAAATTCTTAAATGGTGCTGTTTAATATTCTAATTTCTTTTAAGTATATTTGATCAGAGATGGGCAAAGTTAGCTGCTAATTCTCTTGGGGACTATTTAAATCTAATTAGGCATATATTTCCTGAGAGTATATTTATAAATAAAAGACTCTGAAGTCATCTGACTTCACGGCTTTTAGAGCTTCTTTATTTTTTTAATGTTGTTAACTATGCCCAGGTTTGTTTCTCAGGGTATTAACCTGCTTTGGAGTTAGTCTACAAAAGTCCTTGTTAGTGGTAACCTTTTTTCCTTAGCTCTTGTTCTGGAAGTATAAATATTAATAATTATGTATTTTGTTTTAAATTTCTACCAGATGAATTGGTTTGGCCAATCCTCACCCAAAATTGGGACCAAATCCAAACCATTTTGACAGTTTAGAAAAGTTAGTTAATGTTTTCCTTTATTTTGCTTAAATTGTCGTAGTCTCTGAACATTATGAGCCCATAACCATTTAATTACGGAGTTAGTTGCCAATTTTTTTTTAATGATAATTTTTTTTAAGTTTGGTTACTCTGATGTGCAATGGAGCATAGTAGATTTCTTTTCCATTGATGCTGAAAATTAAGTGTCCCCAAGTGGTAGAAAGGAACTTTGAAGAAAAAAACTATTGCCAGATGGGCTTGGGTGGCTCAGAAAACCTTGGAAAGGCAAAAAGTTTATATCAAATGCTATCCTCATTTTCTGAAGAACTACTTACTAACATCATAGGTTTATAAATGACTTTGTTGAAATTCTCTTTCCTTCAATTAACATATCTTTGCCATTTGATGCCAGTAAATTCAATGCAAGTAAGATTAGGGATTGGTCATTGTTTTACTGAGAACCCTGAATTTCTTATTGGCTAATTTTAATTGGCCAAGATTGCTCACTTATATTATCAAAAGATTAAAGAAAACTTAGAATTCCTTCTAAAATTTATACAGTGGATAACTTATATACTTCCACCTAGATTTTACCATTAATATATTACTACACTTGTTTTATTATCTATTCATCTTTCTATCCCTCCGTTAATCATCTTATTCTTTTAATGCATTTCAAAATACATTACACATATTAGTATATTTTTCACTAAATACTTCAACATGCATATTGTGTTAACTAGAATTTACTATTTAGAATTTTACTTTTAAGATAAAATTTACAAAAAATGAAATGTACAAATCATAAGTGTACATTTGCTAACTTTTGACATATGCATATACCTATGTAACCCACACTTCTTTCAAGATAAGACATTGCCATCACCCTAGAAAGTTATCTCTTGCCTCTTCCTAGTGAATTGCCACCACTTACCCACCTCTACTTCTCACCCTTACCTTTTGCTCTGAGGACATCACTGTTTCTGTAAGCAGATTTTGGCAGGAAGGAGCTCTTTGATGGAGAGCTCTCTGCAGGAGGTCCCTTTTGTCTTGTCACTAATCTTAAAGTAGGCACCCCCATGCTCTACTCATCTCTAGCACTAGCACACTTTTCAGATTTTTTGATCACACAATACCTTGCCCTACATGTTGGTGATATAGGAAAATGAATGTGGGGTGAGAATGGCCATGTCCCAGGTCTCAGTTGAGCCCCTGGGACGTGCCCCACTTGCCTTCGTGCAGGAAAGAATTCAAGAGCAAGCTACAGTTGAGTAAAGTTAGGTTTATTCAGAGAGTTACATACTCTGTTGAGTGCAGGCTGTTTCAGAAGACAAGAGAAAGGCCATGAGGTATGGGGATTGGGTGCTTAGTTTAAAGTAAAAGTAGTTATATACTCCATAGACAGAATGTGAGCCATCTTACTCAGAAGGGAAAACATCCACGAGGTGTGGGGGTTGTTAGTTTTTATGGGCTTAGTAACTTCATATGCTAACAAGTGGGAGGATTATTTCTACTACTTTTAGGGAAGAGGCTGGGATTCCCAGGAATTGGGCCACTGCCCACTTTTTGACCTTTTATAATTAGCCTTGAAACTGTCATGGTGCCTGTAGGAGTGTCATTTATCATGCTAATATATTACAATGAATGTATAATGAAGCTCAAGGTCTACTGGAAATCAAATCTCCCACCATCTTGGGCCTCAAGGCCTGCTGGGAGTTGAATCTTCTGCCATCTTGGTGTTAATTGCTGTGTCATTCTTTGAATGGCTGTGCCCTGCCTCCTTCCTTCCTATCTCATTGGTTCTTTCCATTCTTCTTCCAAAGAAGTAGAATAAGTAATTAACAGATGACCAGATCTCTTCCCTAGCTTCCCCTTCAGTAATCTCGCAAACAAACTGTGTGAACAAGATAGCATCTAAAGAAGGATCACAAGATGTTGACAAGCCTGCTCTTAGAGGGCCCTGTACTTTCTCTTAAGGCTTTATGGTTTTAACTTTTAAATTTAGGTCTATGATTCACGTAAAATTAGTTTTTGTGTATGGTATGAATGTGAGTTAGGGCTTAAGTTCCTTTTTTCATGTGGATAACATGATGTTTAGGCATGATTTGTTGAAAAGATTCTCTTTCTCCCATTGTGTTCCTTTGGTGCCTTTATCAAAAATTAGATGACCAAAAGTACAGACCTATTTTAGGGCCATCATCTAAATTGTTCATTGATCTAATTGTTGCTTCTTATCTCAGTACCACATTATCTTGGTTACTATAGTTTTATAGTAATGTTGAAGAGTGTAAATGACCCAACTTGTTTCATTTTCAAAACTATGGATATTCTGTGTCTCAACAAACTTCATGTTTGAAATAATAGAGTATATTCTCTTATTATGCTGGAATTAAAATTAATAATAGGAAAATAGCTAAGACTATAAGTGTTAATACTAAGCAATGTACTTTTGAATATTGTGTGGTTCAAGAAGATAATTGCAATAGAGATAAGATATTTTGAACTGAAGATAATGAAAATACTGCATAACTTGGATTCAGTTAATGTGGCACTTACAGGGAAATGTATAGCTCTAAAACACATATTTTAGAAAATAAAGATTTTAAAAATCAATGATTTAAGCTTACATCTTAAGGAATTAGTGAAAGAACAAAGGTAAAGATTAATAAATTAAAGACTTGTACAAAGACTGATCAAGAAAGAAAAGACAAACACAAGTTACTAACATCAGTTATGTAAAGAGGGAACACTGCTGCAGATCTTATAGACATTAAAAAGATAGTAAACGAATATTATGAACAACTTTTTGTGAAGAAATTTGACAATTTAGATGAGCTGTATCAAGAATTGGCAAACTTCTGTAAAGAGCCAGATGGTAAATATTTTAGGTTTTGTGGACCACCATGCAATCACATCTATTCAGTTCTTCCATTGCAGCACAAAATCAGCCGTACACAGTATGTGATGATTGGGTATGCCTGTGTCCCAGTAAAAATATTTACAAATACAGACAGGCTGAGGGCCATAGTTTGCTGACCCCTGAACTAGACAAATGCTGTAGGCAAAAAGACGTAAGACTGGCACAAGAAGAAATAGAAAATTTAAATATTTCTATATCTATTAAAGAAATTGAATCTATAAATTAAAACCCTTTGTCACAAGGAAAACTCTAGGCTCAAATGACTTTACTCTTAAATTATTCCAAATGATAATACCAATCTTACAAAAATGCAATCAGAAAATAGGATAAGTAGAAACAGTTTCTGTGTTAGCTTTGTAATGCATCAACCTGGCTAGACTGAATTCCATTTTCCAAAATTTCTTTCTCTTTATGTTTCTAGTTGGAGTGGGCCACGAGAGACATTCTTATGTGAGATTTGGAAGACAGAAGTGAAGCAGCGACCATTTTATAGCTCACATAATGGTATTACTTATCTGTCAGCTCACCTGGTTAGTTTGGGGCAGACTGCAATTCCCCTGAATGCACATTCCATTTCTCTGTCTCCTGGGGGGTGTGTGTGTGTGTATGTGTGTTGTTCTGTCATAAAGACACTTTACATACCATCTTTGTCATATGCAGCAAGACCTGATAGGAGTTTGTCTGTCGTTGGTTTCAACTTGCTTGTGGATTCCGGATTATGCTTGTTCTTCCCTACTTTACATCCATCTTTCCTTCTCAACTGCCTGAGGCCCTGTGGACTCCAGCGTCAGATGAACAATCTTATGGAGACTGCTTAATTAGCTTCTACCATTGCACAAGATCAAATCCCTACAACAAATCGTATAAATATATTTATATCTGCATATATGTGTGTGTAGTTCTGCTTCTCTGAATCTTGATACATTTACCAGCTCTTTATGAGTCTTGCATAAACTTCATACCAAAACCTGACAAGGGTATTACAAAAAGGGAAAATTATAGGCCAATCTTTCTCATGAGCATAGATACAAAAATTCTAAACAAAATATTATCAAACATAATCCAGTTATATGAAAAAGATCATATTTCATGACCACGTGAATTTTATTTCAGCAATGTAAAGTGGTTTAACTTTCAAAAAGTCAAATTCATTAAATGAATAAAGGAGAAAAAACATGATTGCCTCAATAAATGAAGGAAAGCACAGTGATCAGCTGTGCCAAATACTACTGGCTGAGAAAGACAAGAACGGAGAATGCATCTTTGATTTGGGCACGTGGTAGTACTGGTGACCTTGAAGTCTCAATGATGCTAGTAGAGACTGAACCCCAATAGGAGAGGATCTGAGAGAGAATAGGGAGAGAATAAGCAGAGATGGTGAATGTAAACAACATGCCAACGATTTACACTGAGGAATGCAGAAAAATTGGACAGTGGACAGAAAAGGGTGTGATGCCAAGGGAAGATTTCTACATAAAGATGGTAGATATTATAGCATGGTCATAATGAAGAGAAAGAAGTGGCATTGATAAATTTGTGGGATTGAAATAACAGGTTTTACATGCTATTGACAGTGTGAAATAAAAACATTTATTCCTGTTCCCAACATTTAAGTATGTGTGGTGGTAAAAAGACCAATGAAATGGAGAAGGCTATAAGGGTGTTTATTACCCAGAAGTCATCGTACAAAGATCGGAGAGGGAGGAGAGAGGAAGCACAGAGCTATTCGGAGATGAGAGTGTGGGGGAGATAGATGAGTAGATTGGCTCACATCTGGGTGGAGAACAAGGACAACAGGGTATATGGGGGGTGGACTTGTATGGCAAGAGAGTTAGTCCTGGTATTTCCTTAGAAGGGAGTTCTCCCCCTTCCCCTCCCTCTCCCCATTCTCCTCCCCCTCAGAGTGTGTGTGGTGTTTCTGTAGTTGGCAGGAAAGGATAGCTCCTGGTGGACATTTAGGACAAAATTTGGCAGTGGAATTAGGTTACACTTCTGAGAGAGTTTGAATCTGATTGCTGAGTTGTCTCCATTCTTTCTGGGAAGAATCATTTTGAGTCTGTCTTTAATTTGAAGATTAAGAGAAGATATTCAAGGCTTCCAGAACCCAGGCTTATGGGGAATACTTAGAGATTGTTCACAAATGTGAGGCCTAGCTGAATTGTGGAGGCCATAAGGCTCTTCAGTTTTGTTCAGACAGTGGGCGTGGGTAGGGTTTCTTCGCACCATGCTCAATGCAGTGACTTGTGGAATCGCAGGTAGGAGATGTGGGGAGAGTTAGTGATGCTTTGCTGGAATTAGCCTAGTGAATATGAGATCAGGTGAGTAGGATCATTGGTATCCTCAAGTGTTGTTCCAGTGTTGCAGCTGCTAACTGTGAGTTAATCGATCTGAATATTTATATTGCTACAATATGCATTTGAATTATGGGCCTGCCTTGCATACAGTTTCTTCATTTTAGTTAATTGTGTAAAAATGTGAATTCATCTCTGTCTATGAAGGCTAATGAACTCGCTGTTTCCCTGAGTCTCATAACTAGATGATATGTTGCCACTAGTATCATATAAACAGAATTAATAAAATTTTTTAAAGAACCAAATGAATAGCCAGTTCTAGTCGATTATATATTACCAATTTTTAGAGCTTAGGCTAATATCTTGAGAATTGCCTTAAAACCTTTATGTCACAAATCAAGATATAAGTAACATCAAGAGTTACATGAACATGCTTCAGATTATGTTTCTGGCCAGATTTTTCAACTGTCTTGCAAAGATGACTCTTGGATATTGTTTTGATTCTTGGCAATTTTGGAGTCATATGATTGCATGCTTCCAAAATAACAATCTGGTGATAGCTTTCAACATCGGGTTACTGAAAAGGATGATTGTATTGTACACATTGATTCATAATTTCAGGCTTCTTCACCATTTTGGTGAATCTGCATTGAATCTTCATTGTCGCATTTGTTAGGAATCTTGATGTTTATACTCTTATGACTGTCTCAAGCCCTCAGGCATTCCTGATTATTACAATGAGAACTCTAGACTCTCACAACATTTTGAAATTCAGTGGTTTCTATTATGTAGGATGAATATGAGATTCATTTGTTTGACTTCATTATCTTCTGTTTGTGATAGAGAATGGATCAGATAGAAGCATCTTGATGTTGATATACATGCCAGTCTTTTCTATTTAGATACTCCTTTCTGCTGTTACAAATTTGTTCATTTTATTCTCTTATGCCCTTAAAATTCCCTCATCTTGTTCCTCTACCCATCTAAATCTAAAATATTCTTCCAGACCTTCTCTTTTTCTTAGCTCCTACAACATTTGTAATACATTATCATCCTATTTAAGAAATAATTGCTTCTTATATTCGTTAGTTTATCAAAGCCCTACATATCTGCAGAAGCTTGCATTGATAGCTTCAGTGGTTCATTGTTTCCTATATCCATCCATGTAATTTTTAATTTTACCTTCCTACCTTGGGCAGGGTGACCTGCCTACTGCTTGACTCTGACCTCAGGCAAGTGACTTGCTTTAATCAATGGAACAGTCTTGCACATTGAATATTCCCTGTTGAACCTCTGCCATCACCATAAGAACATTCTCCTGCTAACCTGCTGGAGACAGGGCCCCAAGGAGCAGAGCCCCAGTTGCCACAGCTGAAGCCATCCTTAGCAGACAGCCATTCAAACACCAGACATTAGAGCAAGTCCAGCTGAGGTCATCAGTGCTGCCTAGCAGACTCCCAATTGACCCTAGAAGCACAAGCTATAAGGATGAAGCGTTGTGTGTATTACACAGCATTATTATCACAGTAGATAACTGATGCAAATAGCCTACATGGCCTGGCCCATGCCTTCCTTGCTAAGTTTATTTCTAACATTCTCTACCTCTTGCATCACTCTCCAGACGCATTGGCCTTGTTTATGTTTGTCTTATATGTCAAAATAACTTTTGGCTCAAGATCTTTGCCTTGCTGATCCCTCTATCAGGAGCATCTTCCTTCTGTTACTTGTGTGGGCATCTGCCACTCATGAGGTTCTTAATGTCTTAATTTCTGAGAGTGCTTCCTGACCCCACTGCCTAAACCAGCTCTCTTCCCAGTTATTCCCTATTCCATTTCACTCTTTATTTTCTTCACTGTGCTTATTATTTTCTAAAAATATCTGCTTACATGTTTATTGTCCATTCCCTCAGTGTCCCTGAAGTAGGGACTTTGTTTTTTTCACTCCCAGTATCAAGAACAGAGTCTGGCACATAGTAGATTTTCAATAAATAAGAGATAAATGTATGAATAATTGTTCTGTTAAGAGAACAGACCAGTACAAGATATGATAGATTCTAGAATATGATAGGATATTGTATTAATTTCCTAGGGCTGCTGTAACAAATTACCATCAACTTGACAGCTTGAAGCAAGAGAAATTTGCTTCTCACAGTTCTGGAGGCCAGAAGTCTGAAATTGAATTGTAGGCAGGGACACACTCCCCCCAAAGGCTCTGATGTGGTCTTCTCCTCTGTATCTGTCCTCTGTGTGTCTGTCCCTAATATCCCTCTGCCCCTCTCTTATTCATGTGATAGCACTTAGAGCCCACCAGGATAATCTAGATAATCTAGATCTCAAGATCCTCAATTTAGTTACTTCTGCAAACATGTTTTTTTCCCAAATAGGTATCGTTCACAGGTTACAGAGATTTGACATGGCTACATTTAGGGGGCCGTATTTTGGCCTACCACAGGCATAGAAGTGATCAACTCAAGCACGTGGGAGGCAGAATAGCATAGTTTAAGATCCTGTGCTGTGGAGCCAAGAGTGTCTAGCTTTGAATCTCAGTTTTACCACTTATTGTATGCATGTGACCATGTTACTTAACCTCTCTGCCTAGTTACTGTCCTGCAAAATGCAGATAACAATAGTACCTACTTCAAAATGTTGTTGTAAGAATTGATATGTAAGGACATAATAGTTTCTGGAACAAAGTAATTGTTCAATAATTATCATCACATTTGTAAAGCAATGCCTACTGAGCATTTCCAATGTGCCAGGCTTTGTCCCAAGCACATTTCATATCTTAGCTAATTTAATCCTGGTAACAGTCCTAACATTTGCTCAAGATCACACATCTAGAAAGTGGTAGAGGTGAGAGTCAAGCTCAGACACTGTCAGGAGTCTGTTCTCTTAACCAGTTCATATATGGCCTCTCTGTTGCTGCTGCTGCTGTTATTTTAAAATACTTGCTGTGAGATTTCTGTTGGCTATTAATATTAACAGGAAAACCAGAGGTTTCTGGGTAATGTAAATCAGAGTAGAAATCATGAATCTTTATAACCTTGTTTTAAGTTGACCTTATTTTGGTAATATAATTGGTAGTCAAGACCTTTTTATGAAACATGGATTGGCTGGCTCAGATTATGGAAACACCCACCCACTCTTTAGATGTTTAAGTATGTAGAACCAGTTAGCCAGCCTCTTCCTATTATCTTGCTCAATGCAGAATATACTTAACAAATTTTCATCAGAAGCACAAGCTTATCTACTGTTGTTGCAAGTATCCATGACATCAACTTTTAACAAGTTGTATATATTGTACAGCTAAATAACTGAATTAAGAAAAGTCCTTTGTAAGATTGAGAAGAACTTACTTCTGATCCTTAGAATGTAAGGTGAGGTCAGGAAATTTTGTCAGCTTTGTTCCATTCTGTACCCTACCTTAGCCCTCAACAGTCTCTTCAGTATTGCATCCAAAATAGATCTTTGAAAATGCAAGTCAGATCACTTCACTCGTCTATTTAAAACCCTTCAAAGGTTTCCCATTATTCTTAGAATTATATTCAACGTCCTTATATTGGCTTCCAAGCTGTTCCTTGATTCAGTGCCCTCTCTGACTTTCTGATCTCTTCTTCTGCACTCCTAAATCTGCTCACTCACCTCCAGGCACATTAACCTATTTGCTGTTCCTGAAACATGGAAATCCTTGAACTTGCTCTTTCCTTACCTGAAACTCTCTTCTCTCAGGTATCTGCCGGCTTGCTCCTTGATCTCCAAATTTTGCCTCAAATGTTATCTTTTCAGTCAGGTCTTCCCTAGCCAGCCCTTCCCCTTTACATCCTGCCCCTTTTCCGTGCTTTCTTTTTCTCCATAGAACTTCGTAACATACGACATGCTATATATTTTACTTATTTCTTTGTTTATTAGCTGTCTCTATCCACCAAAATGTAAATCCCATGAGGACAGGAATCTT